TCTATAAAATCCCAAGTGTTGATTAGCATATCATCTGCAGATTGACTATTATTATTTAATACTTCAGACATTGCTTATTTAAATAGAAAACAAAAAGACCTTGAAATGTATGTGTGAATATATAATGTATTAATGATATACTCTTATTTTTAATTAAGACAAGTTTCCATGGGTTTGTATTATATTTAATTGTTGTAAGTTTTAGATAATATAATAAACACAAGTGTGTAAAAAAAAACATGCTTATTTTTTTGTATTTTTTTTTTTGTTTTTCCTCTCATGAGATTGAGTGTTTTTTTTTTTTTTTTTTTTTATTTGTACGAGCATCGGAGATATAATCACAAGATTTATCATTTATAAATTTCTAAAGTTTGAAACAATTTATATAATTAAATATATGTATATATTTGTTTAATAACTTTATAATAACATCTTCTTTTCTTTTATACATTATCTATCTCTGTAAAGAAGAAGCTTTATTTACTACTCTTACAATACTAATTGTAAAAGTTATAACCCAAGAACACAAAATTAAAAACAAAAATGATGACAAAGTTCTTTGTTTTCTGCAGATATAATTAATCTTTGGAGATGATTTCATAGATGGTACTCCTTTAATACAAACCCAATCATCATCAAACATAGACCCAAATGCCAATGCTAAATTAGCAGATGAGAAAATAATAAACAATAAATCCAAAAGAATTAATCTCAGTTTGCCCAATGGATTTCTTAAACCTAAAGGTTCACCTTTAAACTCATCTATCGCCACAAACAGTTCAAACAAAATAGCAATACTGTTTACTACAATAGCCATTATAGTTGATGGCTGTTGGCCTAATGTGTACTTTTCCAATGTTGTTGATGATGTTGTGGAACCAGTGAGGCTATTCCCGTAATATGAACCTTTAGAATTTACATAGATTCTAGAGGACAATGACAAAGCTATTACACATAACACAACAATAAACAATCTGCAGAAAAGAGGAACATATCTATTTTGAAACAATATTTTCTCTATACTAGGTAAAAATTGGGTCTTCTTTTTACCATACTGTTGCTTAAAGTATTCCGTAATATTTTCCTTCTTTTGGAGCATTGACATATGGTAGTTTTTATTATTTGTGTTTATACCAAATCTATTATTATGCTCCCTATGATACACTTTTTCCAAATCCCTTGGTTCCATGTTACCATAATTTGGATGTCCGTTTACTGTACTTCTACTATTAGTTCTATCTACACTATTTCGATAATAAAAGCTACTGTTGATGTTATTCATGTTATGAGGTGTAGCAATTTTATCTTCATCTATTTTATTTTTCTCCAGTACATTCTTTTTCTCTTGTTCCATTTTATCTAGATCCCAATCATTATAATAATTTTTATCAGAATAAAAATTTGTTTTTAATTCATTCACATAACTATTAAATTCATTTTTCTCCTGCAGTGTCTTAAAATTACATTCTTCAATATAAGGTATAGATTCCATGATTTTCAATCTATCTTCACCTCTCCAACGATCATTTAATGTAGGCATTAATTCATTATACAGGGGATGACCTGGTTTAACTTTTATACGGGAATCAACATCACAATCCGAAGATGATGATGAGGAAGACCTAGATGATTGGGATGAAAGAACGTCTTGGCTTGCAACATTTTTTATATATTTGTTGCTAATCTTTGGAGATCCAATTGGAGATTGTTTTATCGATGTGTTATTAGTGCATGTCAAATTTTCAATAAACTTATTCCAATGCATCTGAGAGTCTAGTTCTTGTCCCGGAGAGTTATTTTCCTCATTATTATCTTCTTTAGGATCTTCTAAAGTCATACTGCTTCTACCATCTCGTAACATTGGTTTTGGTTCCTGTAGTTTATTAAACTTTTCTTTTTGTTTATTGTGTCTTTTTTCATTAAATTTCCGTTGAGTGTTTGTACTGTAATCATGTTTATCTATAATCAGGGCAAAAGGTGGAATTGTGGTAGGTTTTAGCCCATAAATATTTAAAAATACTTCAGCATCCTTTACTTTTGCATTATGTATATTGTTATAAAGTTTAGATGTAAATAGTTGTTTTGATGAGGATACTTGAGAAGAAATAGAAGATCTTCTTGTATTCATATTAGTCTTTTGATTTTGGTTTAGTTGTTCCATTACAAGATTAAGATATTGTTAAAATTTTTAGTATTAAAACTTTATTAATATGAACAACTTGTTTAGATGTTTTTTTTTTCTATATATAATATGAATATGATTTTTTGGGGGTTAATAACTTAATCTTTGTATAGTTTTACTAATGTATTATATATCAAGTTCTTAATTTTGTTTTAAATATTTTGTATATACTTTGGGTATTCAAAAAAAAAAAAAAAAAAAAAAAAACGTATAAACAAAATTCAAATATAAAAATCCTTCTTTGTCCCTTTAAAAAAAAAAAAAGCAAAAAAATATGTACAAAAAAAATACACTAACAAATATTGGAAACTTTTTTTTTTTTTTTTAATAAAAAGATTTCAACAAACAATTTCATCTCAATTTTAAAGTTATATTAAATAAGATATATTATAGTATTTAATTAATATATTTTTAATAAAAAAAACAACCAAATAAAATGTTGAACTTGAAATATTCTGAAAGGTTTCTTGTCAGTGCTAATTACTCAATCAATCATAATACTGTAAGATTTTTCAGTTACGGTACTAGATTAAGAAACAAAGAATCATCTGCTATTGTTAGTAAAAGCTACGATGACAAGAAGGCAATTGAACCAATTCATAGTCCGGAATATAACGATTTTTTAAATGATAATTTGAAAATTGTTGCCTTACCAATCAATGAGTCACAGTTTTATTTACAATATTTGCAAGACAAACAATTAATACATTTTGAACATAAAGTTATTTCTATTGAGAAAAAAGTTAGTAATAAAGCTTTGAGTTATTGGCAAAAACTCAAAGACTCCAAAAAATCATATGCCACATATACAGTCAAGACAATTGAAAAACTATTAGAAAAATTACCTTGGTCAGAGCAAAGTTTTGCATCAATTCCATCTGAACAATTTATTATCAAGAGATTACAAACCACAGAGTTAGCTCAAAAGGCATTTCCAAACAAAAAATACATTACATTTTTTGATTATTTAAATCTTGTCAAAACCAGTCCTGAATTGACACCTAAACTGGAAAAAACCCCAATCATCAAGCCTATGAAAATTTATATTCCAAAGATTCCAGGCAACACAGAAAGCAAAGCTGTTATTGGTGATAAGATATACCAAATGGCTGTCATGCAAGCCAAATACTACTCAAAGCAAATGTGGAAATGCATTGCTGCATTTCCCTTGACTTTTCCATTAATTCTTATTCCATTAGTTCCAAATATTCCAGGTTTCTATATCTGTTATAGATTATATTGGAATTTTAAAGCTTTTGCTGGAGCTAAACATATCATGGAAATGTACCACAAAAATCAAGGTTCTTCTTTCCAACTGGAATATGTTCCTGAATTTACCAAGAGCTTTAGCAAAATATATGATACAGAGGAACAAAGATTGCTGCTTAAAAATGATGAACAAATGGATGCCTTTGAAACTCTGGTCAAAGATATGGATTTAGAGAAAGCCAAAGCAAATGTACAAAGAGCTATAATGCAAGAAAATTATAAATAAATAATAAAAAACAGCACCTCTACATGTGAGATTATTTATATTACGAAACATATTTAAATACTTAATATATATATAGGCATATAATATATAATTACTTTGTTTTTTTTTTAACTTGTTAATATATAGATAAATTGATTGCATCATTTTTTTTTTTTAAAAAACAAAACTATATATATATATATATAGGTTATCGAATGTCAAATGATTTCGTAGTAAAAAAAATATATATATAAGAAAAAATATTTGATTTTTTTTAAAAGTCAGTACATATATTAATTCTCTGTTCGGATTTTATTTTTCCTGTCTATTTTTGTTTAAAAGCCGTTCTAAATGCACAATTTTATTGATTTTTTAATTTTTCATATTTTCACCAAAATAGTTCATATAAAAATTTTCAAGAATTTTCATCCCTACTATAAATACATAATAGAGATAAAAATGGTACTTGTTTTTAAATTATATATATTTAAAGGGAGGTTACTTATGACTTTAATTCTCAATTTTTTTTAATTAACAATTTATTAAAGAAGAAAACATATAATAAAACCAGACCTTTTCCAATTAACTATCAAAATGAGAGCTAAATGGAGAAAAAAAAGAGTAAGAAGATTGAAAAGAAAGAGACGGAAAGTAAGAGCTAGATCTAAATAATCTACTTGTTGAAAATGAATTATTAAAATAATTATTTTTTAGAAATTTTCCTAAAGCTTTTTCTTTTCTTTTATTCTGGACTTATACACAAATATAATGATATGAAAATGAAACAACAAAAAAAGCCTTAAAACTTCAACGATGCGATTTTAGACGCTCGGTAAAAACCCCCCAAAAAACCCTCAATATATAAAAAGTTTTTTTTAAAACTTTATATAAATTTTTTTATTATAAATTAATATAGTGTTTTTTTAAGCTTTTTAGTATTAAATCAATAGTATTATAATTAACTTTTTTTCACCGTTCTTTTGCTATTCAAATGAATTTAGCCAATGATTAGATGACATATTTAAATGTTGTTGTTTTTATCTTCATAATATGATAATTGATAAGATACTTAAAGAATTTTATCAATTCATTCGAATATTAAAAAAGTCAGAAATTAACTTTACCTAAATCAAAACGTGTTTTATGTAAAGTTTTTTTTTTCTATTTTCTTTTAAAAGAATAAACTAAGCATAAGCTTAAGCTTAAGCTTGTATCCACTTTATTATATATTGATTAGCGTTTAAAAGTTACTTTCAATAATGTATTTTTATAAAAATACTAGTAAATGGCACATTTTCTTTATAAGGAACGAGCAAAATTACTCATCCAGTTGTTTTCATTAACGGTTCCATGGCCAAGTTGGTTAAGGCGTGCGACTGTTAATCGCAAGATCGGCGGTTCGACCCCGCCTGGGACCGGTTACAACTACTTTTATTTTTTTTGTTAATATTATTTTAAAAAGAAGAAAGGTAATAAACATATAAGTGTATGTTTCGTTTTTTTTTTTATTTTTTTTTTAATCTTAACAGTTTGAATATGTAAGTTTCTATTCTTGTTACTTTCTTTTTTACGTGTGTATCTTGTTTTTAAAAGGGGAGTTTTTTTTTTTCCAAAAAATTTTGATAAAATAATTTGTTTACATTTTTATTTTATAATATTTTTTTAAATATAATTATTTTATTATACTAAACTAAAAACAAAAAAATATATTTAAATATAAAAAAAATATTCATTTGTTGTTGTAAACAATTAAACACATATATAATATTTGTTATTTTAATTTTTTTTTTAAAAACTTAAAAATATGAAGTCAAATCCTCCCACAAATCAACCCAAAATTCTTTAAATGCGTTCCAAGCATACAGAAACCAATTTTTTTTTTCATTTCTTTGTTGATTTAATAATTGTTGTTGCTGCTGATAATAGTTGTATGCACTTTGTCCTAAAACACCACCATTTTCAGGTGCCCCAATTTTTTGAACATAACTATAGATTGAATTTAAATTTTTTGTATGATATTGAGAATTATTGTCATTAGTATTATCATCATTTCTTGCATTATTCTTGACTGTTTGATACTTTGAAACTGATCTATAGTAAAGAGGAACTTCTAATTGTATATCTGCCAGCTCATTTTGGAAAGTATTGTTATTTGTTGCTTCAATACTGTTTATTAATTTACCATTTCTTGTAAGAGTTATTTGAGTTGGTGTTAATGGTAATGTACCATCAAATAGTATTCCCTCTGGTGTTTGACAAGTCAAATTATCATTCACTCCTTTCAAAATGCTACCTGTTCTTGCATTTTGTAAACTGTTTTCAATTTCTTGTGCTATTGAAGTATCAATACTGCAAATGGTAGAGAAAGAACTGACACTTGAGTTAGTTGCTGCATTTTTATCCTCTGAACAGTTGTTGTTAATATTTTTTGACCATAAGGAATCTCCCGAACTTATAAGTAAATTGTCATTGTTTCTTACAGGATACAAAAAATTTGCTATAGTTGCAATCAGTCCATTTGTATTTGTTTGGATTTCTGTTTGGCTATTATGCGCTAAGTAGCATAAATCATCTTTTTGAAATTCATGCTTACCATCAAGAATCTTTTCAATTGTATGTGAGTTACTTAAGTTTGGATTAAATCTTATAACTCTTGCTTCCATTCTGTTTAAAATCTGACTAGATGGAATATATCCTCTAAGCAGTTGTTTCCTATAAACCAATTCTTTTAAACTTTCATTAGGGTTTAAACCTTTTATAGTGACTGTTGGTAGAATACCATACTCAGAGTAATTTTTCATATCTGAATGCAAAACATCAGAACTATCTGTTTTTTTATCTGAATGTAAGTCCAGATTAATATTATAAAGTGCTGTGTTATTGATATCTATTTCAGTGTTGATATTAAATTCATTTTCTGTTGATTCTCTATTTGTAGTAATATGTATATCATCACTCATTGTTATATATATATATAAATATTTATTATATAAAAAAAGCAAGAATGTTTTATTAATATAAGCTATCAGTTACTATATTAAAAAAAAAAAATAAAAAATTCAAAAATTGTTTTCTCTCTAAACATATATTTAAAATAAAATTATTTTTATCTTTTGTTTTTTATTTCTGGTATGTTTCAAAATTAAAGTATTTTTGAAATCCAACAGTTAAAATTTAAAATTAAAATATTTTCAAGTAAATATATATGTATATATATATATATATAATCAAATATAATTACAAAAATAAATATATATGATACAAAAAAAGCAATTGATTAAAACAAATAATCCATCCATTATATCCGATAAGATTTTTTTTTTTTCATTGTGGTTGCAGAGATTTGTTACTAGGAGAGTATTATTATTATTATTATTTTTTTTTACTCAATTTAGAAAGTTTAACGCCAATTATAAAGTTCTAGTTCTTTTTTATAAATACACACATATATTCATGCAAATCCTTATAACAGTTGTTTCACTTTACTGATTTGCTATTAGAATATATTTACATCAAAATAGATATATATATAAATAATTTAATTTAAACAGTCACATGCTGATACATTTATACATACACACAAGAATTATTGTTACTAGTAGTATTATTTATTTCTTAAACAAAAAAGACACAAACTTACCGGTGTTTGGGACATCTCCCCTAAAAAAAAATTTTTTTTTGCTCCTCTCAATTTTTTTTTTTAAAAATTAAAACAAAAAAAATACAATTTATACTGTTCTCCCAACAACAACAAAAAAAAACATTAAAATCAAAATTTTCAGCAAATATTTTTTTTTAGTAGACATTTTTAGAAAATATTGGAGGGAAAAGCAAGAAAAAAAAAAAAAAAAAACACACATCGAAAATAAAAAAAAAGATCAATCAGATAATTATTATCAAACAAAAAATATATTTTTTAGAAAAGAGAAGTTAACCTAAATAACCCTAACAAAATTCAATTTTAATTGGTTTTTTTATTTTAAAATCCTCTTTTTTTTTAAAACAAAATTATTTAAATAGAGAGAATAAAATAAAAGCTTTTTTAAATAACCAATCTCTATCTCTCTTATATATATTTTTTTGGTTTTCAATTCAAAAAAGAAAGAAAAGTATAAAAAACATATAGAAATTAAAACTTTAAGTATAATTTAAATTCAATTATAAAAAGAAAAAAAAAATAATAATACAAGATATTTTATAAATCATTAGCACTAATAATTTATTAAACTTTACTTTTTATTATATTTTTTTTAAAAAAAAAACAAAAACTATTTGCATAAATTTACTTTTGTTATTAAAAACAACATCATAATATCCTAATAATAATAAACCTTAACATAATGAGTACAGAAACAGATGTTGCTATGCAGGAATTAGGAACTACTAGTAGTGCCAACACTTTGCAAAGAAGTGAGTCTCACGAAGGAGATAACATAGACTTAATGATTGATAATGAAACTTCCAAGAGTTTAAACTCTCTTCATCTTTTGAAAGGAGACAAGGATGATCATTTAGATGATTCTATTTTACAAAAACCAATTACAGGAAAAGACCTACTATTTGATCACCAATCTCCAAGTTCTTCTTTATTAGACCGTTGGATCGACAAAGTTTCCAAATGTGAAGTCTTATCTGAAGAGGAAGTTGAAAAATTATGTGATATGGCTAAGGAAGTCTTAAACAAAGAAGATAATGTCCAACAAGTATCCTTGCCTGTTACTATATGTGGTGATGTTCATGGTCAATTTCACGATCTAATGGAGCTTTTCAAGATTGGTGGTCCATGTCCAGATAATAACTATCTTTTCATGGGTGATTATGTGGATAGAGGTTATTACTCTGTGGAGACAGTAACTTTCTTGGTGTGTATGAAAGTCAGATATCCTGATAGAATCACTATTTTAAGAGGTAACCATGAATCTAGACAAATCACTCAAGTGTATGGTTTCTATGATGAATGTTTAAGAAAATATGGGTCAGCAAATGTTTGGAGACTGTTTACTGATTTGTTTGATAGTTTCCCAATTACTGCTTTGGTTGCTAATAAGATTTTCTGTTTGCATGGTGGTTTATCTCCAATGATAGAAAATATTGATCAAATAAGAGATTTGAATAGACACCAAGAAGTTCCCCATGAAGGTCCGATGTGTGATTTATTGTGGTCTGATCCTGATGACAGAGGTGGTTGGGGTATATCTCCTAGAGGTGCTGGTTTCACATTTGGTCAAGATATTAGTGAGCAATTCAATCACACTAATGATTTAGATTTGATAGCAAGAGCTCATCAATTGGTGATGGAAGGTTTCTCATGGTCACATAGCTCCGTTGTCACTATATTCTCTGCCCCTAATTATTGTTACAGATGTGGTAATATGTCTGCTTTGATGCAAGTTGATGAAAGTTTCAATAAAAAGTTCTTACAATTTGATGCTGCTGTTAGACCAGGTGAACCAACTGTCAGTAGAAAAACTCCAGACTACTTCTTATAGATATATACTCGATGCTGATTAAAGAAATGAATAAGAAAAGAAACTAAACAAAAAAAAATATTAATATTGTTATTTGAAGGAATAATAGAAAAGAAATAAAAAACTTTACGGAAAGAACAAATGCAAAAAAAAAAAGAAACAAACAAAAAAGATTTATAACCATATTGTTCACTAACAATAATTTAATTAATTAAAAAACAAAATAATAATATTAATAAAAAAAACAAAAAAAACAAATAATACTGATAAGATATTTACTTCATCTAAACTTATATATAAATCACTTAAAAAAAAAACACACCTGTTCTAGGAAAACTATATAAATTAAAAAAAAAAATAATATTATAATAATTCTGAATTAATAAATTTTACATCATAGATGTAATTTCTTTGAACGATCTAATGCAATATCACACATTGCATTTATAGCTCTTTGACACTCTTGTAACCATGTGTTTTCACTTTGTAAAATTTGTTTCATTTCTTGAATAATTTCAAGTCTATCTCTCCCATTCACAAAACAAACAAATCTTAAACCTTTATATTTTTTCTCATATTTATTGTTTAAATCAATCAAAGCTTCTTTAATCTCCTCAGTATTATTATTATTAGTATTTGAAGATAAGTTTTTCTGTTCCATTTTGGATAAAGCACTAAGCTCTCCTTGAATCTCCTTCGGGACCCCTAATTTCGGATGTGCCTCAATGATGTTACTCAAATGAGTTTTTGTTTCATCATTTATTGAATCATTTTTAGTCAAAGATAACAAGCTAGATCTTACTAACTCAATCATATGTTTATAATCATCACATTTTAAAATATCTAGTTTAACTTTAGGATCCTGTAATGTGAATTTAATCAATGAGTCTGTATGTTCAAATAAAAGGTCAAATATTTTTATTTGTTCTTCAAGGGAAGAATTTTTGAAT